CCCGAGTGCCGCGGAACACTAACCCGGGATAAAACCGCGTTCCGTGCCACTGACAGCCAACGCCAATGCTGCCGCCAGGTCCCCGTGGTCTCGCTCTGAGACACCAGAGAAGAGCAGGCGTGGGGAACTTGGAAAAGGCTCCACAGGCATTTCTGCTTCTTTTTCCTTCTGCTGCCTCCTTTTCCTCTGCCCCTCCCCGCCCCCCTGCTTCCCGTCCTCCCCCTCCTTCCCCCCAGGAAAACCTCTGGGCTGGACTGGGACGAGCAGGGAATGAAGGAGGGTGAGGTGTATGGGACTGAAATGATGTTTTCTTGTGGACTGTTCCTGTGTGGAAACATCTAAACACCTTATTCAAGCATCCATTGGCAGATGTTAACTGAGCAGCTACCGTGTACCGGGATGCCACTGCGCTGGAGCCTGGCGAGGGCATCGAGGCAGCAGAGAAAGACAGGCTGCCAGGCTGACGGGGGAGCTGCCAGCAGAGCCTGCAGCCTTCTCCACACGGAGCCAAAGGCCTGTCCTGACCCCCGTGAGGGGTTCAGAGGCTGAAGTTACCAGAAGCCGGAGAGAGCCGTTAAACACTGGGGATTGTTCTCTTTTCCTCAATAAACAATTACCGGCCAGAAGTATCAAAGCTTTTGTTCAAGAAAAGAAGCTGACCTTCCTGTGTCTCAGCACAGGGCTCAGCGTTAGGGGGGCCCAGAGGCCAGAATGAGAGAGGCAGCCCCGCCCTGCTGAGACCACACCAGACCTGTGCCTCACCGGCAGCTTGCTCCGGCTGCCGTACCCAAGCACTGCGGCCTGCGTGACTGAAATAACAGAAACCTACGTTCTTGTCACTCTAGAGGAGAGAAGCTCAAGATCAGGGTCCGGCACAGCTGGTTCCTCCCGGCCTCTCTCCCTGGCCTGTGGATAGTCGTCTTCTCCGTCTGTCCCCACAGGGTCTTCCCTTGTGTGTGCCTGTGCCCCACTCCCCTACGAGGGCGCCATCACAAGACCACCACCCACCTCAGGGACCTCATTTACCTTCGTCACCCCTAAAGGCCTTCTCTCAAAACAGTCACCTTCTGAGGCCGTGGGGTCAGGACCTCAACATGTGAATCTGGGGGACAGCGGCCTGTGAGCGCCTGAAGGCCCAGTCCCCGGGGACAGGACCCTAAGTGGAAGAGAGCTGTGCCCAGCGCCCGGGGTTGAAGCACAGAACCGCAGCAGGAGGGCAGGAGCTTCCGGGACGGCCAAGGTGCCCAGGACGTCTGGCTGCAGCCGCTGCCAGGAGAGCCGCTGCCAACTTGGCCACAGTTAATGCAGCGCCTCGCCCACAGCCGTCACCAGCACGTGCTGTGCTGAGTGCATCACGGAGGATAGTGCTCCCCGGACGGGGCCGGCCCGCGTGCGGCTGGGGCTCTGGGGGGGGGGGGTTTGCCCGCCATGAGGGGGTGGTGGCAGCCACCCCCGGCCTCCTGCTTGGCTGGGGAGCCCGGGCAGTGCCCCCAGGGGACAGGCCCACCCTCCCAGAGGACCTGACAGTGTGGGGAGGGCACAGGGAAAGGAACCATCTGGGCATCTCTCCCCGGCCTCCCTCGGGAAGGGAGACGGAGAGCCCGAGTTTAACGGCTCCAGCTTTTGAAAGACCGAGTTTATGTTTGTCCAAAGGACTCCCTCGTGAACTGCCCCTCCCTTCCTCTGTCCCCGGAGCAGTTTTGCTTGATCCTACATTGAACACCAGGATTCCTTTTCCTGCGGGAAAACCCTATAGGGGCCTCCGCGGGGGTGGTGTGGGGGTTGGGAGGGAGGTTCACACACAAACTGGAGCGCTGACACCCAGCCGGTGCTGTTGTGGTTAATAATCCGGGGTCACAACACCAGCTCCCCGGCCCACGCCCACGGTCAGTCCCCCGGAGCCGGTAGGAAGGGAGTGACAGGGCCAGCCAGCAGCTGCCCCGCACCTGTGCGCCTCCCAAAAGGCAGGTGGCTGGCTCAGGGGTTCCTGCTATTTGATCCTGATACACCTCCTCAGTGCAGGCTGTTTGCACCGCCCAGGGGATAAGTCACTGTTCCCGCTGCGGGAGCTCGGAGGGCTGCGGGGAGATGCAGGGGTCGGGGAAGCAGGACGGCACCCCTCCCCCGACACGGCCGAGGACGGAGGGGGCTGGGCAGGCTCATCTGCTGAGTGGCTGCTTCTGCCCGGCTCCCTTCTGGTAATAAGGAGCTTTCAAAGCACTCTGAGCAGCCACATCCCGCATAAAAGGCCATTTGGATCATTTTCTGGCTGGTTACTTCTCGGTTATAATTAGCATTAAGAGCCGTGTAATGTGATTACATTACAGAATGAAAGGGGAAGGCCTACCTTCCAATCTAGCGCAGCTCCTGGCTGGCCGGCCAGCCATCCTCCCTGTGAGCGTCTGGAGCTCACTCCGGGCCAGCATCCTGTCTGGCCCACGCTGGGTAACTCCGGCAGGGAAACCTGTCTGTCCTCCGGGGGCGGCCCTTCTGGTCCTGGCTGTTCCCAGTGGAGCTACGCAGGGAAAGTCAATTCTCTGCTCATCCTTCAGACACCGAAGGCACTTCTCCCGCTCCCCATGGCCTCTCTGAGCCGAACACCCCCTCTCTGAAATCTCCTCCACAGGACACTTCCTGGTCCTCTGGCTGCCTTCCTGGTCCCCTCCTGGACAGAACTGTGCATATGAGATGCCCATCAGCCAGAACTTGGCCACAGGGTCCCGCGTATACGGTGTGCGGGTTGGGTGGGAGTGGGTGCAGCTGGAGACAGAGTCTCCGGTTGGACATCTGCTTCCAGACGAGGCGAGGCGTTGACAGGCCTTTGGTGTCTCTCTCCCCCCGCCTCCCCCAGCGATCTCTGCTCCACAGCCTAAGACAGATTGCAGTTTGGGAGGTAGTAAATACATTTCTCTCAGACTGTGCATATGGTTATGCTCTTAACCCCAACTAAAATATTAATGTGAAAACAAGTAAGGCCTTTTCACTTTATGACCCAGAAAAAGAACATAAAACTGCCCTGTTAGATACTTGTTGCTAAGTGACAAATTACTCCAAAACTTAGTGGCTTAAAGCAATAACAAACACTTGTTCCCTAATATTTTCAGTGGGTCAGGATTTCGGAGTGGCCTGGCTGGGCAGTCTGGCCTGGGATCGGCCATGAGGTCACAGTCAGTGTGTCAGCTGGGCGGGCTGCACTCATCTGAAGGCTTGCCTGGGGCTGGCGGAGCCAATCTAAGGGGCTCATTCCCATGGCTGGCATGCTGGTGCTGGCGACTGGCAGGAATGTGTTAGTGTGCTCCCACTGCCATAACAAAGTGCCACAGGTGGGGCTTAAACAACAGAGATGTGTTGTCTCAGTTCTGTAGGCGGAAAGTCTGAGCTCAAGATATTGACAGGATTGATTTCTCGAGGCCTCTGTCCTTGGCTGGTACATGGCTGTATTTTCCTCGTATCTTCCCTTTGTGTGAATCTGTGCCAAATTCCTTCTCGTAAGAACTCCAGTCATATTGGATTAGGGTCCATCCTAAGGATCTATTTAACTTAATTTCCTCTTGAAAGGTCCTGTCTCCAAATACAGCGACATTCTGAAACACTGCGTTAGGCCAACATACAATTCGCATTTGGGGGTGGGAGCACAACTTAGGCCAGAGCAGGAGGTCTCGGTTCTTCCACCTGGGCCTCTGCACAGGCTGCTAAGCTCCCTCCCGCCCTGGCGACAGATGCTCTCTGAGGACAGCCCTGAGGAGCGCAGGCTGAGGCAGCAAGGCCTTCATCACCTCACTTCCGAAGTTACACGTCCCCTCCGCTACATGCCGCCGTTACACATGAGCACGGAGTCTGCTCACAACCAGGGAAGGCAAACTAGGCTCCGCTTTTCGAAGGGAGGACTGTCCACTGCAGGCTGCCCTAGACTATGTCCCCGTTGTCTCTCTTAGGGTCCAGTACAAAGATTACGGCCTTCCCTGTTTTTCTCCTCGGTCTTCCACTGAAAGCCAATGCAGATCTAGGGCCCATCCCACGGAGTGTATTTTTCTTAAAATCGCAGGGGCATCCCTATTAGCTCAAGTGTTTTTCTTCTCAATGATTTCTCTGCCATGAAGGAGATGAGTGCGTCTCTTCGGAGTGGGTGGGGGAGCCTTGCTATCCTCAGATTGGCAGCCTCACTCCAGCTGGAGACAGTCCCCGCAGTCTTAGGGAGGAAGACGGTGTGGGGGAATAATAGCCAACGGGAAATTTTTTCTAGTTAAATCTATGCATGCCTCAGCTTTTAGAGCGAGCCTGCATGGCTGGAGTTCTTGTTCAGAGCATTCACCCTGCCATTTGAGGCTAAGACAGTGCGATTAACACATCAACGAGGTCGGGGGGAAAACTATCTCAGGACTTTTAACAATAAAGGCAGACCTGATTCAACTGTGTAGTTCTAACAGTTAGAAAGACAATTATTCATAAAGAAAAAAATGCAATCGAAGTATCAAAACTCAGTGTATGAGGTCTTACTAACTCTAATGGCTCAATGTTCACTGCTATATACATATTCCCATGGAGATTCGCTTGTTCAAAAGAACAAATTGGAAATGTTTTTAAAAATAGAGGTATTATGTAACTGAGACATGATTCTGAGATACCCAAAATATATGCTCTTTCTCTGCTGGCTTTTCCACATTCTGTATTCATGAACCATCCTGGCTAATAATTGAAAACCTAGTTTTTAATAGAAATATGCAAGTTAGGTAAAGAATTGTAACATTTTGGGAAATCTCATAGTCTTATATGTTGTACAAATAGATGAGAAGAGGAAAAACACCTATATTAACGTCTGGTTTCCAAAATAAACACCAACATTTTATTGGGAGAAAAAAGTCTAAGAAAAACCCAAACTCCAAAATCAACCCAACGGAGACTTACAATGAGATCTGCGTTAAATGAAGCACTGTACTTCCTTTCACTCAGGGCTGAGGACGCTCTCTCAATGTGAGCAGAAACAACATCTGACAGGAGCATGTTTGAAAGCTTTTATTGAACAGGCAATGAATATGTTGTGTAACGGCTAAGGACACAGATGCCTAGTGGAAAATTTTAAAAATTATTGTTGGAAACGGTCTGTGAGTTGATGCGCCCTGCTGTGCTCTTCCCGCCCCTTCACAGAGTGTCTGTCTTCAGGAAAACTGGCTGCTTTATCCCTGTTCTTGGCAGCGGCATCCTTACGTACCACAAATACCACGCCCACGAGGGAAGGAGAGGAGCAGGCAGGACCCGCAGGTGGGGCTGCGGCCGCAGACACAGCGGATCTCAGGGGGAGGCACAGACACACGCTCTCCGGGTCCCAGTTTTGCATCCGTGTTTCACGGCTTCTTCCGTGTTGGAGCTCCTTTGATGAAGGCGATCCTGAAAGACTGGCATTCAGACCTCCGGGCACCAGGCCTTGCTCCTCGAACACCTTCTCAATGGTGTTCTTGTTTGCAGGCCCTGCTGGCCAGGCCCTTGGCTGTGTGTCTGTCCTCCCTGTTGGCCTGGCTCCCTCCTCCCCAGCCGGATGATAAAAATCACTCCTACGGTTCAGCGTCTTTGCCTTCAGTGGCAGTTTTTTCACGAACGTGACCCGTCAGTCAGGGTGGTGGGCATTTTTGTCACACGCTGTCAGCCTATTTTATGATCTGGGGCATGTCACTCCACGCCTGAGCCTTCTTTCTGGCGAGCTCCATCCAGGACGGCTGCTCGGCACTGGCATAGCTGGCTCTCTTCAGCTGGTGCAGCTCCCTCTCCGCCATCGCCGCCGCCTGGGCTGCTGGGGTGAAGACAACACAGACACACACAGCAGCAACGTGTTTGAATTTTCACTCACGCCTCTGCATTTCTTTAACACACGCATCGAGGTCTAACTGTGGTCTCAAATGTGAAATCCTTAATGTGCAAAAATGCAGAGAAGGTTTAGGCACAGAAAACCTGCTGTGACAAACAGACTGCCAGGAGGCTCCCATGCGGTGAGGAGAGAAGCTTCCAGAGGAAAACTGCAGCCCGAGGGACTGTGTACAAGTGTGAATATTCTTAACACGACTGACCTGCACACTTAAAAATGGGTTAGGTGGTAAGTTTTGTTATTTGTATTTTACATAATTAAAAAGAAATTTAAGCCAAACCAGTTTGGCTCAGTGGATAGAGCATCAGCCTGCGGAATGGAAGGTCCCAGGTTCGATTCCGGTCAAGGGCATGTACCTTGGTTGCGGGCACATCCCCAGTAGGGGGTGTGCAGGAGGCAGCTGATCGATGTTCCTCTTCATCGATGTTTCTAACTCTCCAGCCATCTCTCTTCTTCTTTGTAAAAAAATCAATAGCATATATTAAAAAAAAAAATTTAAAAGGTGCTAATGCATGGAATGTCAGAGATGAATGCTCTGTGAAGGAAGCCAGACACCCAAGCACACGTGTTTTGTGATTCCGGGAATAGGACATGACTAAGAAAGGCAGGAACTGAAAGTAGTTGTGATTGGTGGTTGCCTGGAGTGGGCGGGAATGGTGAGTGCCTGTAGGTGGGCCCAAAGCTGCTTTCTAGGGTGAGGCTCTTAGACTGGACTGCGATGGTTGGACAAATCAGGAAACATATGCTCACTGTCCGTTAGTACTCACTGACTGTACTTAAAACAGGTGAGTTTTATGGTAATATCCCAATAAAAGCTATTTTAACAAATCCGTGTGTCAAGTAATTCAGAAAAAACAAACAAACAAAAACAAAACAAAGCCCGTAGGCCCACCCCAGGAGGGGATTTCTGAGTGTTCGGGGCTGCTGGCAGGTTTCATACCCAAGTTCTGGTGGGACAAGGAGATCCCTCTTTGCAGCCCCTCCTGGAGGCAGAGCTTGCTCCCCTGCCGGCGGTCCGCGGGCTTCGCCGGGGTGATCAGGAAGGACTTGCTGCGGATGAAGTCGGCTTGCCTCGCGGGCCCCTGTGAGGACACAAGGAGGACACTCTGCCCGTCATCCCAGGCTCATGGGTCTGAGCAGAACCAGGCGGAGCCACGCGGTCTGTAACAGGAAGCGTGCGGCTGGCGCTGTCTCGGGCTCAGCTTGGTGCTCTCACTGGCCCAGCCTTCAGCACCAGGAGCTCGGATGCCCCGGGACACACACAGGCGTCCTGGGTTCTGCCCTGTCCCCACGGCGGCCTCAGCCCGGACACTGGACGGCAGGGATCCCATTGGAAAGTGTAAACGAATGGTGTTTGCAAGTAGTTTTGAGGTTTTTATGACACTTGGTCTGCTCACAGAGCCCCAAACCAGATCGCTGGCTCACACTTGTTTATAAATGCTGTCTGCACGCAGGCATGGGGGTGATGAGGTTTGGGTTAAGATGAAGGGGAGCGGGCTGAAACAAGCCATGGCTTCACCGTGGTAGCTACTTTGGGGGGATGCGAATGTCATGATTCTCAGCCTGCTTCCAAGCACAGCTGTTTAGGGTTGAAAAAGCTGTTTTGAGTCCAGACTGCGAATGGTCCCTGGGGCAGATGCAGCCCTGGCTGGGAGGAGGGGACCCTGGCTGGGAGGAGGGGCCCTGGCTGGGAGGAGGGGCCCTGGCAGGGAGGAGGGGCCCTGGCTGGGAGGAGGGGCCCTGGCTGGGAGGAGGGGCCCTGGCTGGGAGGAGGGGCCCTGGCTGGGAGGAGGGGACCCTGGCTGGGAGGAGGGGCCCTGGCTGGGAGGAGGGGGCCCTGGCTGGGAGGAGGGGACCCTGGCTGGGAGGAGGGGCCCTGGCTGGGAGGAGGGGCCCTGGCTGGGAGGAGGGGACCCTGGCTAGGGAGGAGGGCCCTGGCTGGGAGGAGGGGCCCTGGCAGGGAGGAGGGGACCCTGGCTGGGAGGAGGGACCCTGGCTGGGAGGAGGGGGCCCTGGCTGGGAGGAGGGGACCCTGGCTGGGAGGAGGGCCCTGGCTGGGAGGAGGGCCCTGGCTGGGAGGAGGAGACCCTGGCTGGGAGGAGGGGCCCTGGCAGGGAGGAGGGGCCCTGGCTGGGAGGAGGGGCCCTGGCTGGGAGGAGGGGGCCCCTGGCTGGGAGGAGGGGCCCTGGCTGGAGGAGGGGCCCTGGCTGGGAGGAGGGGCCCTGGCTGGGAGGGGGGGCCCTGGCTGGGAGGAGGGGCCCTGGCTGGGAGGAGGGGCCCTGGCTGGGAGGAGGGGCCCTGGCAGGGAGGAGGGGACCCTGGCTGGGAGGAGGGGGCCCTGGCTGGGAGGAGGGGGCCCTGGCAGGGAGGAGGGGCCCTGGCTGGGAGGAGGGGACCCTGGCTGGGAGGAGGGGCCCTGGCTGGGAGGAGGGGACCATGGCTGGGAGGAGGGGGCCCTGGCTGGGAGGAGGGGCCCTGGCAGGGAGGAGGGGCCCTGGCTGGGAGGAGGGGCCCTGGCTGGGAGGAGGGGACCCTGGCTGGGAGGAGGGGCCCTGGCTGGGAGGAGGGGACCCTGGCTGGGAGGAGGGGACCCTGGCTGGGAGGAGGGGCCCTGGCTGGGAGGAGGGGACCTGGCATCACTGCAGGCACCGGGCAGCAGCAGAGGCGGGGCTGGTCCGCCCCCAGCCGAGAGGCAGCCCTGACCTGGTCCCGCGTCTGACTGAGGAGCTATTTTAACCTGCTCCACTTCTCCAGATGCTCGTTGCCTAGGAGGCAGGAGCAGAGCTGTCCCTCCCGCCCGAGTGATCCACCTGCTCCTCCGCCTCCCTGACAGCCCTGCAGCCGAGGGCAGCTGGCAGCCCGCAGCCCGGCCACGGGCTCTGCACCACCAGGCAGGAAGCGTGGCCCGGGGGCCCCGGCGCCTCTCCCCCACACCCACAGGCTCAGGAAGGCGTTGCTCTCGGCACCCACCTGGGCCCTCTCGGGTGCCTTGGCTGGCTTTCCTATCTCGGGCTCCAGGGTCTGGGCCCCAGGCTTGTCCTCCTGGTTGGGCGGCTGCTCCGGGGCCCCTCGCCGCTTCTGTGGGGTGATGGTGATCCAGGGCGGCCCAGACTGGCCCTCGGCTCCAGGCCCCGGGGCTGCGGGAGGCAGGCCCTTCTCTGTGGGTGGAAACACAAGGTTGTCAAAACACGCCTGGTCCCTCCGCAGTCTCACTGTCGTGGCTCCCACACCGAGGACCCCGGGGAGGGGGCGCAGGGGTGGCGGGAGGGGACTGATGTCGGGGAGCCTCTCTGGGGGGACTATTCCTTTTCTTTAGGGAACTCTGCTTCCTCATTTAAGGGTGCACCAAGGAGACTGTGCTTCTCTGGTCTGAGCCACAAACACTTAAATGCAGCCGCTCCTATACACACATTTTAGAGCCAACTTCCTCATAAGGGGTATTTTCTGGAATGACATAAAAGTACACAAGTATCAATAGATAAGATTTCTGTAACATAAGACCGTCATTTTACACACTTCCTGGCTGGTTTGGGAATTGTAGACACATTCTTCTGTTTTTTTCTTTTAAAAGTTGTAAGCATGCCCTTCCATTTGTAAAGAACGACACCCAAAACAGACGCAGCTGTGTTCCTCCGTGTTCCGGAGAGCAGAGAAATAGTGCCTGTAAAACCATCACGTTTTGCTGAATTTTCTCCCACATTCACAGTGATCTTTGGGTGGTAAGGCTGTGGGTCATTCCCCTCCTCCTTTTTAACTCTCCTGTATTTTCATATTTTCTACAATGGGAAGTTATTACCTTCATTAAGAGAAATGGAAAGCAATCTTATTTTTTTCAAGGGAACATACTGATGAAATAAGCGGTTTCTCAGAGGTTCAAAAGTACTTTCTCTCTGAAGTACCCGAGACCCAAACGTTGCAGCAGCTGGCCCCTGAACCTCTGCCTCCAGCACACAGAACCAAGCCGACCTCGCGTCCACATGCCCACCCAGGCCTCCGGGGTCCCTCCCAGCGAGCGCCTGGTCAGCAGGTGAGGCAGCGCCATCGCAGCCGATGCCCCAGGGCAGTGGCATCATTGTTCTCTGTGCTCTGCTCTGCTGTGTTTGGGTGCCACTCTGTTTGTTCTTGTCTCTGCCTCCAGTTCAACCTGGAGTCCTTTCTCCTCCATCACTTGGTCACCAAGGAGGGATGAGGGACAGGAGCCCCTGAGCACCCGTCTCCGGCCAGCCGAGAGGGGCCCCTCCGGCCAGGCCCCTGGGGACAGCCCCTGTGCTGCTCCTGGCTGCCCCCGAGGCCTTCACCACCCCGTCCCCCGGGAGCCCTATCCCCCAGGAGCCCTGTCTGTCTGTCTGTCTCATCCATCCCTGGTCTCTTCCTGCAACTTCACCTCTTCCTGGCCACAGCCGTCCTCCCTGCTGCTTTGCATAAAGCTTGGGTCTCCCAAGCTCAAAGGAGAACCATCTCCACTGAGGTTTGCGGCCCCGTGAAGCCCCAGCTCCCGGTTCCCCCCACCCTCCACCTGTGGCCTCTGCCTGAGTCCCTCCAGCCAATCCCTAAGCCAGCGCAGTGCTGCCACCTGCCCCCCGCTGCACCAGAAGGATGGGTGTCTCTCCCACCCCCGCCTGCTCACCCTGAGCCCCGGCCTGACCTCATGACCGCTCCAGGTGCCCTTCCTCCTTGTGCGGTCGCTCTCGGCCCTGCCAGACTCGCTCCGGAACCTGCAGGCTTCATCGCTTCTTCTGTTCCACTCCTGATTTCAACACTCATGGGCCCCGTTACCTCCCATCCAGCCCTAGTTCCTCCTCTAAGGCACAGCCTGCGTTTCCCCTCCCCTTCTTCTCGCCCTCCCTTCCTTACAAAACTCAAGTCTAGTGTGGGAGGCTACCAACAAGTAACCATGGTGGACACTGGAAAACGCTACAATTCATACAGTGCTGTGTGGACAGGGCCTGAGCGAGGGGCAGCAGCTGAGGGCGCTGTCTGGGGCTGGGGCCTGGAGGAGGAGAGCAGAGCTTCTGGGCGAGCAGGGGGCAGGCAGGCCGCCCAGGAGGAGGGGTAGAGGCCGGAAAGGTGCAGGGCCGGAGGGGAACTGAAAAGGGGCTCTGGCCTCTCCCTGTCCACGTGGGGGCCTCCAGGGGCCAACCCAGGGTCACACTTGGAGGCTGTGAGAAGAACATCTGACTGGGGGACTGAGGAGGGAGGCCGTGTCCCAGTGCAGGGAGGTGACGAGGGATTGGATGCCATTCCAGAATCACCTCTTCTGGTCCAACAAGGCCATGCCCAGGTGCCACCTCCTCCAGGCAGCCTGCTCTGGTCCCTCTCCCAATTCTCTGTAACTCCCTGAGACCTTTTCCCCCGGGGTTGGTACTAGACATGTCTGCTAGCTGACCGTCTACCCCACTGGTTCATGCTTCTGGTCATTGGAACTTATTTAACAAACACATGGCACAGACTACATACCTCGTCCTGTTGCTGACTGCCCCAATCGCCCCTCAGGAGCAGGGGGAAGTGGAGAAGCCCGCAGGGGTGACTGGGGTCAGCAGGCACCGCTCGTACCTGCTGATGGCTCTGAGCACTGGGACCAGCGCTGGGCACCAGCCAGCACCAGCAGCAGGTGTGAGTGCCCGGCAGAACTGCGGCGCATGAGAGCAAAGAATTTTCAGTTACCACCAGTGGGTCCCCTGATGACAGCGACCGGCGCCCCACCTTGGTCTGATGCCTCCGTTCACCTGCTCCACCATTCCGCCACAGCCAACACCTGGCATGTTCTGTGTGCACTCCCTGGTGGTCAGCACACAGCATAGCACCTGGTTGTTCGGTTGTTTTGCTATTTGGTCTATTTGCATATTAGGATTTTATATATATAGAAGATAGTATTACAGATGTTCCCCTCTTTTCTCCCCATTGCCACCTCCACCTGGTCCCCGCCCCACACCACCCCAGGCCTTCACCACCCTATTGTCTGTGTCCACAGGTAATGGATAGCCTATATAATAAAAGTCCAGGGACCGAACGGTGGAACAACCAGAATGACTGGTCGACCAGTCGCTGTGATGTGCACTGACCACCAGGGAGCAAATGCTCAATGCAGGAGCTTCTCCTGGTGGTCAGTGCACTCCCACAGTAGGAGCGCCACTTGGCTGACCAGGATGAGCAGCAGGCCATGCCCCCCAACCAGTCCACGAATCCTGTGCACCGGGCCTCTAGATAAATATGCAAATTGACCATACCTTTGTGATAGCCACCAGCCAGTCATGAGTGGATATGCAAATTAACCCAACAAAGATGGTGGGTTAATTTGCATATGCAGACGCGGACTGAAGACTAAAGACTGAAGTCTGATGACTGAAGACTGAAGAGGCTTGGCTTCTCCGTTGTGGACAGAGTGGAGAAGCCAAGCCTTGCTGCAGCCAGAGCGGAGAAGCCTAGCCTCAAGGCTTGGCTTCTCTGCTGCAGCTGAAGCAAAGGCCTGGGTCCTGTTTACCAGAGGAAAACCAGTGCTGGCAGCCAGGAGAAGGAAGACCTATTGCAGGAATCTTCGTGCAATGGGCCTCTAGTCTATAATAAAAGTGTAATATGCTAATTAGACCAGACAGACTACTGACCTTCTGGATGAAGCCAAGGCTGCGAGGGCCAAGGCAAGCTGCTGTGGCTGCAAGGACCGAGCCCCTTGCACAATGTGCATTGGGCCTCTAGTGTGCATATAAGATCTTTGGTTAATCTCTTCCCGCCCCTGCACCTCCTTCCCTCTGAGATTGGTCAATCTGTTCCATGTTTCCAAACCTCTGATTCTATTTTATTTATTAGATTTCTTGATTATTGTTTTTAGACTCAATTGTTGAAAGATATGTATTAATTGCCATTTTAGTGTTCATATTTTTTATTTCTTCTTCTTCTTCTTCTTCTTCTTCTTCTTCTTCTTCTTCTTCTTCTTTCTTCCTTCTTCTTCCTCTTCTTCAAGAATACACTTCAACATTTCATATAATACTGGTTTGGTGGTGATGAACTCCTTTAGTTTTTTCTTGTCGTCTTCTTCTTCTTCTTTTTCTTCTTCTTCTTCTTCTTTCTTCCTTCTTCTTCCTCTTCTTCAAGAATACACTTCAACATTTCATATAATACTGGTTTGGTGGTGATGAACTCCTTTAGTTTTTTCTTGTCTGTGAAGATCTTTATCTGACCTTCAATTCTAAATGATAGCTTTGCTGGTAGAATAATCTTGGTTATAGGTCCTTACTGTTCATCACTTTGAATATTTGTCATTCCCGTCTGGCTTGCAAAGTTTTTATTGAGAAATCAGCTGACAAAAATATGGGTGTTTCCTTGTGGGTAATGAACTATTTTTCTCATGCTGCTTTTAAGATTCTCTCTTTGTCTTTAACCCTTGGCCTTTTAATTATGATGTGTCTTAGTGTGGGCTTCTTTGGGTTCCTCTTATTTGGGACTTTCTGTGCTTCCTGGACTTGTAAGTCTATTTCTTTCATCAGGTGGGGGAAGTTTTCTGTCATTTTTTCTTCAAATAGGTTTCAATATCTTGTCCTCTCTCATCTCCTGGCAACCCCATAATGTGAATGCTGGTATACTTGAAGTTGTCCCAGAGGCTCCTTACACTAGCTTCATATTTTTTTATTCTTTTTTCTTTTTGCTCTTCTAATTGAGTGTTGTTGCTTTTTTTTTTTTTTTTACTTCCTCATATTCAAATTTTTTATTTGATTATTAGAATTCTTTCGTCTACTGTTGAAACCCTATAAATTATTCTTTATTTCAGTTATCGTGTATGCTTAATTTTTGACTCGTCCTTTTTCATGTCTTTGAAATTCTCTCTAAGATCCGTAAAAGTCTCACCAAGTCCCCTGAAGTTCTCATCAAGATCCTTGAGCAACCTTATAACCATTGGTTTGAACTCTGTATCTACTAGTTTGTCTACTTCCATTTCTTTCATTTGTAACATGTTTCTTTGTCTCCACAGTTTGGCTGCTTCCCTTGTTTGCTTATATGTATTAGGTAGAGCTTCTATGTCTCCTGGAGTTGGTCAAGTCTCCTTGTGTAGTAGGTGTCCTGTTGGGCTCAGTGTCCCCTGTCACCTGAGCTGGGCACTCTAGGTACACCCGTGTGGGCTGTGGGCGCAGTCTTGTTGTAGTTAAGCCTTGATTGCTGTTGGCAT